CACCTTCGGGGAGCTCAGCGGACCCCTGAAGCCTGGCTTGCCCTACCAGCCCCAGCGCCACGGGGCCCCAACCCTGCCTACATCTACGATGAGTTCCTGCAGCAGCGCCGGAGGCTGGTCAGCAAGCTGGACCTGGAGGAGCGCAGGCGTCTGGAGGCCCAGGAGAAAGGGCGTTGCTACGACCTCGAGGACTCTTAGGACGGGAGTGATGAGGAGGAGGTCAGGACCCTCCGCTGCGTGGCCGAGCAGCCGCTCCTCAAACTGGACACGTCCTCCGAGAAGGTAGAGTTTTTGCAACTTTTTGGCTTGGCCACCCGACAGCAGAAGGAGGAATTGGTGGCCCAGCAGCGGAGGAGGCGGCGGGCGGCAGATGTTGACACAGGGTGGCCCGTCGCCCCCCACAATTCAGAGCAAGCCACAGGCGCCTTTGCCAAGACTGGCGCTGTCCACCCGCTAGAGCCCTGACGAGATGGACAACAGTCCCAACTTCGAAGAGAAGAAGTTCCTGACCATCTTCAACCTAACCCACATTTGCACCGAGAAAAGGAAAGACAAAGAGAGACTTGTTGAAAAAGCAGAAGGCACTGTCAGCAGCAGTGGCCGACTCCTTGACAAATTCTCTGAAGGACAGTCCTGCTGTCTCCCTGAGTGAACCAGCCACACAGCAAGCCTCTCTGGACATGGAGAAGCCGGTTGGTGTTGCTGCTTCCTTGTCTGGCATCCCAAAGGCCGCGGAGCCTGGGAAGCTGGAACAGGTGCGGCCCCAAGAGCTGTCAAGAGTCCAGGAGCTAGCTCCTGCCAGCGGGGAGAAGGCCAGGCTGAGCGAGACCCCTGGAGGCAAGAGGAGCCTGAGCATGCTTCACTACATTTGGGGCGCTGCACCCAAAGACATTCCTGTGCTACTGTCCCACAGCACCAATGGGAAGAGCAAGCCATGGGAGCCCTTTGTGGCGGAAGAGTTTGCACATCAGTTCCACGAGTCAGTGCTGCAGTCCACGCAGAAGGCCCTGCAGAAGTATAAAGGAGGTAATGAGGCTGCCAGTCCTCACACAGCTCCCGGCTGTGGCTGAGGCTGGCCAAAGTCCCTGAGCCGCCACAGCTGCTCAGCCGTGGGCACAAATTTTTATAAACTGCAATCACTAGAAGAAAATAATGTTGTTATTATGCAATACAAAACAAAACAAAAAACCTGCCACCTGCTGCCGGAACTTGGACACCTGAGACTGCCTAGGCAACAGAGTGAAAGCCTGTCTTAATAAACAACAAAAAAGCTAAACTGTCAGTGCTTTGGAGGAAATTTGTGCATCAGCTGGATTTGCTAAGGTTTATTAAACTGCAATTTCTTTTTTTTTTTTTTTTTTTTTTTTTGAGACGGAGTTTCGCTCTTGTTACCCAGGCTGGAGTGCAATGGCGCGATCTCGGCTCACCGCAACCTCTGCCTCCTGGGTTCAGGCAATTCTCCTGCCTCAGCCTCCTGAGTAGCTGGGATTACAGGCACGTGCCACCATGCCCAGCTAATTTTTTTTTGTAGTTTTAGTAGAGACGGGGTTTCACCATGTTGACCAGGATGGTCTCGATCTCTTGACCTTGTAATCCACCCACCTAGGCCTCCCAAAGTGCTGGGATTACAGGCTTGAGCCACCGCGCCCGGGCCTTTAAACTGCAACTTCTATGGAACGTTCTTAGTAATGTCCATAAGCAGCCCTCTGCTCAATGACCTTAAAAGTCACTCAACATCCTAATTATCTTTCTTGGAAACTACCATCTCTGATGCGATGTGCATGAATGGCATCCCTGGAGAATTTCAATAACCAAAGCTGGGAAAAAGGCAGTTACTCCTCCCTTCTTCATTTCCCGTCCTCAAAGATTACAGCTAACTTTTATGTAAGTCTTTAGTATTTTCATATTGGCCATTTTCATAAAGAATAGAAGTTTCCCCTGTTCTTTCTCATAGCCATTCTTCAGTCTCTCTTTAAACTTTTCATTTGGGTCTTTTTTTTTTTTTTTTTTTTTTTTTGACATAGTCTTGCTTTGTCACCCAGGCTGGAGTGCAGTGGCGTGATCTAGGCTGACTACAACCTCTGCCTCCTGGATTCAAGCAATTCTCAGGCCTCAGCCTCCCAAATAGCTGGGATTACAGGCGTGCACCACCACACCAAGCTAATTTTTGTATTTTTAGTAGAGACGGGGTTTCACCATGGCCAGGCTGGTCTCAAACTCCTGACCTCAAGTGATCTGCCCACCCGGGCCTCCCAAAGGAGATTCCTGTGTTGAGATTACGGGCATGAGCCACTGCGCCTGGCCTCCTTTTATTTTTTTGAGACAAGGTCTCACTCTGTGGCCCAGGCTGGAGTGCAGTGGCACAATCACAGTTCACTGTAGTCTGAATAGCTGGGACCACAGCTTTGTGCCACCATATCTAGCTCATTTTCATATTTTTTGTAGATACAGAGTCTTGCTATGTTGCTCAGGCTGGTCTTGAACTCCCGGTCTCAAGCGATCTTCTTGCCAAGGCTTCCCAAAATGCTGAGATTACAGGCATCAACTATCAACCCCTGCCCATGCCTCATTTTCAAAGAGACTGAGGAAAATCCCAGAAGATTTCCCAGAGGAAGTGACATTTGTCTTGTATGAAATTTTGGCACATGGACCCAATCTGTGTGGGCAATGCTTGAGAAAAGGCCAAGAAATACAGCAAAAGCTATTTGTTCTGAATATTGGGGTTTTTTTGGTTTTTGTTTGTGTTTTTTTTTTTGAGAGAGTTTCTCTCTGGCACTCAGGCTGGAGTGCAGTGGTGCAATCTTGACTCACCGAAACCTCCACCTCCCAGGTTCAAGCCATTCTCCTGCCTCAGTCTCCAGAGTAGCTGGGATTACAAGCACCCACTACCAGGCCTAATTTTTGTATTTTTATAGTAGAAATGGGGTTTCACCATGTTGGCCAGGCTGCTCTCCAACTCCCAACTTTAGGTGATCCACACGCCTTAGCCTCCCAAAGCGCTGGGATTACAGGCATGAGACACAGTGCCAGCCTGCACTGAATATCTTCTATTTCCTCCTCCAGATCCATTCTTCATTTTTCTCCACCCTGTCTTACATCCTGGGAGCTGAATCATATGAACCGCACAGCAGCAGACTTCATTACACTGAAATTTCCAGTTGGGCAGTGGGAGGCGCCAATAAAAGAGAATGACATTTTTAAATTCCCAATGGCTCTCTCCCTCACAGGTCACCATGGATTGGCTGAATCCCTCCACTGAGGACTGAAGCTCCTATCAGGTGGCTTGGTAACTTTCGCTCTCTGCATTCAGGTAACAGTTTTGTCCCTTCAGCCCTAAAAATATTGTACCATTTCTAATTGCTTTCCTATACTCTGCCCACAGCTTTGTAAATAGCTCCTGTATTAAGCTCTCCTCAAATTATCCATTTTGAGCATGCCATCTGTTTCCTGCCAGACCCCTGACTGATACAGTGTGTTTGATTAATGGGTATTAGTTCAGACTAGCTGGAGCATGAAGTGTGTGTCATGAAACAGTAAAACATCATGTAAGAACAGTAGGTTGAAACAGATGGTGGAGGGGCTTGTCTTCCAGGCCAGGAAGCCTGTCAAATAATAAGAATCTCAGAAGGTTTTAGACCAGGGAGTGACAGACTTTAAAAAAACTAATTTAATAACGGTATGCTGAATAGTTTAGAAACTGGAGATGGGGAGATGAGTTAAGAGATGATTACCTTTACTAATAGAGGAAGGTAACATTTTGTAACCGTCAAACTGGCAAAGACCCAAAAATTTCCTTTTATTTTTTGAGACGCAGTTTCGCTCTTGTCGCCCAGGGAGTGCAGTGGCACGATCTCAGCTCACTGCAACCTCCACACCCCGGGCTCAAGTGATTCTCCTGCCTCAGCTTCCCAAGTAGCTGGAATCACAAACGTGCACCATCATGCCCAGCTAATTTTTGTATTTTTAGTAGAGATGGGGTTTCACCCTGTTAGCCAGGCTGGCCTCTAACTCCTTACCTCAGGTGATCCGCCTGCCTCGGCCTCTCAGCATGCTGGGGTTACAGGCATAAGCCACCATGCCAGGCCCCCCCCTTTTTTTTTTTTTTGATAGAGTCTTGCTCTGGAAGTGTAGTGGTGCAATGATGGCTCACTACAACCTTCTCTACTCAGGTTTAAGAGATACTCGTGCCTCAGCATCCGGAGTAGCTGGGATTACAAGCATGCACCATCATCCAGCACTTGGAAGACTGAGGGGGGCAGATTGCTTGAGCTCAGGAGTTTGAGACCAGCCTGGGCAACTTGGTGAAACCCTCTCTACAAAAAATACACAAATTAGCCAGGGGTGGTGGGGTGCACCTATAGTCCCAGCTACTTGAGGGGCTAAGGTTGGAGGATCATTTGAGTCCACAAGAACCCTGAGCCAGACCGAAACAAAGTGGGTGGGGGAAAGGACTGGTACCGTGGCTCATGCCTGTAATCCCAACACTTTGGGAGGCCGAGGTGGATCACCTGAGGTCAAGAGTTCAAGGCCAGCCTTGCCAATATGGTGAAACCCCATCTCTACTAAAAATACAAAAAATTAGCCGGCATGGTGGCGGTCACCTGTAACCCAGCTACTCAGCAGGCTGAGGCAGGAGAATCGCTTGAACCCGGTAGGCTGAGGTTGCAGTGAGCTGAGATCACGACATTTACACTCCAGCCTGGGCAACAAGAGCAAAACTCCATCTCAAAAAAAGAAAGAAAGAAAAGAAAAAGACTCAGGTAGAGTGATGGCTCTCCAAAGGAACTGAATGGCTAGAGACAAAGGAATTACCTATGTTGTTTTTTGTTTTTGAGAGTCTCGCTCTGTTGCCCAAGCTGGAGTGCAGTGGTGCGATTTTGGCTCACTGCAACCTCTGCCTCCGGGATGCAAGCAATTCTCCTGGCTTAGCCTCCAGAGTAGCCAAGTTGTTTTTTCTTTTTTCGAGAGGGAGTCTCACATGACCAAAATAGCAAAAATACTTTAGTGTTACACCTGTTACGAATTTAATGGAAATTACAAGTAGGAGCCCATTACAATCTCAAGCCTTAAAATACCGAAAACATACACAGAGTGACAATAAGCAAACTTCGAGACGCAATAAGGAGAAAAGTCCAACATGGAAAGATTTGGTAGGAGTGACGAAGAATGACAACTGCTTAGTCCCACTGGATATTTCGCTCCTCTTCAGGAAGAATACTCCAGTTTGGGGAGGCCATATCCCGGGCCAGCCAGTTAAAGTCGTCAACATTGTTCCAGTTATTTTTGCTCCTATCTAAACCAGAGCTCTCAAAGTCCTTATCGATCTCCGGGTAGCTCCAGGTGTAAGGGGCGAACTGGATCCCACTGCAGTCCTCCACGATGGCCCTGCTGGTCACCTGCAGGAAGATGCGAGTGTCTTTCGTACTGTGTATTCGGAGCTGTTGGCAGGCTACTGCCAGCACGCAGTCACTGCAGTCCTCCAGGAAAACAGAGGTGGACACCGGACCGCAGAGCAGCTTGCAGCCGTGGGCCTTGGTTAGCCGCAGGGTGTTGGGATTTCCATACAGTTTGACTGTGCAGTTGCTCAGTTCGGTCAAAAGGACGTCGCGCTGGTGCAACTCGCTGGCTCTCTTCTCCAAGACTTGGGACTCCAGGTTGGAGAAACCGCAGATCCAGCTGGAGCCGAGGTCTCCCCCCACCTTCGGGGGCAACGGGGAGTCCTGGATGCTTTCAACTGCCGGGGGGATGCCAGGGGCCGCGCCTACTTTGGCAGACGAAGCAGCATCCTTTCTCCGGGTCTTGAAAGCGAAACGCTTCTTGGGCTGCAGCTCCTGACGCCGCTCGGCCAGGGCCGCCTGCAGCCGCACCAGCGCCTCTTGTCTCTGCCGCAGGTCGTAAGCGGCTAGAAACAAAACCGAGTCGTTGAGAAGTTTCTGCAGCCCCTGGAGCCGAGAGGCCGCCTCCTCCAGCCGCTCCACCGATCCCGCGCCCTCCAAAAGCTCTTCCACGGCCGTCTGCTCCCGAGCAAAGGCGGCGATGAAAAAGTTGCTGTTCTCCTCCTCTACCTCCTGGTTCTGCCGCTTTTGTTTCCGCCTTTCCACTTCCAGCTGCCGCTCTTGTTCGCGTCTCTGAAGCCGCTCCGGCACCAGGCTCAGGTCCCGCTGGGATTCCACGTCCCTGTTCCTGACAGCAGCAGCAGAACAACCAGCAGACTCCATCTTGACTTAAAGCTTCCTCTCTCCTGCCGGCCTTCCTCAGGGCGCGCTCTCCGTGAGGCCTCCCACCAACGCGCCCGGTGATTGGCCTAACATGGTGACGTCATACCCCGGCCTTATTTTCTTCGCCTATTGGTTCCTCTGCGTTGGAGGGGGCGGGGAGACAGGGCGTGGCCGACTGACAAGGGGGGGTGGGAAGACAAAGGTCCTTGTGGATGGGTGGGGTGGGAGGCAGGCGGGGGAAGCTTTTTTCCTCTTAAAGGGGCAGGACTTATATCCGGGATTGTGGGGTGAGTTGCAGCAGCGGCAGCTGCACATGTGGGTTTGTTTATAAGAACAAGGTTAGAAACTCGCAGGCCTCCCCCTCCCCCCAGCTCCTCCCTACTACCCCCTTACAGGCCGGAGATGCGCTACTGGGGGTGTGGGTGGGAGGGATGAGTGCGTGTGGTGGGCTGGGGGGACAGGTAGTGGTGAGAAAGATGGGGGGGGGAATATTGCACCGCCCGGCCCGCGCCGGAGGAAGCAGCAGCTGGAACAGCTGGCTAGGGAGCCGATTGCATGCCTCCGGTTTTTTCCTTTTCCTTCCACCACCCCTTCCCCCAACCCATTTCTGCCGCCCCGTAGCCCTCATCCTTCCCTTCCCCCCTCCCCCCATCCACTGCAGTCCGGCGCGGCCTGGGGGCTCCTGGATCCCCGCAGGCAGTGACTGGGGTGGGAGAAGGGAAGGGGCACTGCGATGGGAGAGACTGGGTTCTTCACTGCAACTGGGTTCGAGGGGCCCTGGGGGAGTCTAAAAAAGGATTACTACATTTTTGGCCAATTGCTGCAGTCGGAGGGGTGGGGGCAGGGGAAGGTGAGATCCACACCCCCTTCCTCTTTCTTCCCTGCCCTCCCCAGCTCCGTCCCGGCCACTCCCTCCGCAGCTGGGCGTCGCTGGCCGCGCCGGGGTGAGACCCCAGCCCCGGGCTCCGCGGCTCTCTGGGGCGCTCGGTCTTAGGAAAGCGGTGGGAGAAGCGGTACATTATTTCTAGAGGTGGTGGGAGGGATTTGTCACCGGAAGTGAATGGCCTATCCTAAAGTCGGGACCAACCCGAGGTGTGGGTGGGCAGCCGAGACCGCGCAGTCACTGGCGAAAACCCGAGGCAGCGGGCCGGGCGAGAACCCGAGACGCTGCGGCTGCCCGGGCGCCGCAGCCGCGCGCGCTTGGTTCAGCTCTGCTGAGCTCCCGGACCTCCTTAGCCCTTGCCCGTCCTGCCCGCCCTTCCAACCCTAGGTCTCATCCTTATATCCCCAGTTCCCAGCCTCCATAGTTTTTAAATTGGGGTACTTAAGGGCCCCAAAACCTTGAAATTTCACCGATCTACCTGCATTTGGATGCAGAGAAAGATGGTAGGAGACGAGAGCCATTGATTTAAATCTCAATCTCCTATTTTCACGCCCCACTCTCTTCCTTTCCTTCCCTCTTAAAACAAAACACACATAAATTGCTGGGCGGAACCGAGTATTTCTCCGCTGAGAGTCAGCACAGTTCATATACCCTGTGGCAGATTCCGCGCGCAGGCGGGGCGAGGGGCAGGGGAGAGGCTTGTGTGTCGTGTGTCTGCATGCACCCGATTGAAAAGGGGGTGCCGAAAAACAATGGTGCTTATTCTTGTGTATAGTCATCGTTTTCACTAGTCTTGTTTTATGGGCAGAATAGGTGAGCCTTTTGTTTTGTTTTAAATAATAATAATGATTATTATTATTATTATTTGAGGCGGAGTTTCGCTCTTGTCCCCCAGGCTGGAGTGTAATGATGCGATCTCGGCTCACCGCAACCTCCGCCTCCCAGGTTCAAGCGAGTCTCCTGCTTCAGCCTCCTAAGTAGCTGGGATTACAGGCGTCCGCCACTACGCCTGGCTAATTTTATATTTTTAGTAGAGATGGGGTTTCTTCATGTTGGTCAGGCTGGTCTCAAACTCCTGACCTCTGGTGATCCGCCTGCCTTGGCCTCCCAAAGTGCTGGGATTACAGGTGTGAGCCACCACGCCCCAGAAAAGCAGGTTCGTTTCACAAAACTGTGCCTCTGAAAGCTGGTGGATGAAATATAGCTTGTTATCTTGTCCGAGTCATGCGGAGGAATTGCAATAACTGCTTTATTTTATGAAATGTTGATTTAAACAAGAGTCTGAGAAGATTTATTTTTCTGGAAAAAAATCAACGACAACCTGACCTGCTTAAGTTTTTCAAGTTGAACCGTCTCACTCAAATTAAGAACGTTTGTAGCTAAAGGTTTATTGGACTTGGAGGTTCCAGCTGGAGTGAGATAACATTTGTGTACTAGGCATAGTGAATGTATGGGTGTTGTAAGTGTTGGCTTGTATCCCAGGTAGAACTGAATGTTATTAAACACATTTAAGAATTTCATTTCTGTCCACCAGCAGGTTTTTGCTACAGTCCAGTATGCTTGGGAAGTTTCTAAATACTCGAAGTTGGTTAGTTCGAACTTTTAAGAAAAGGAAGCGGTTGTAAACAAAGCTTGACAGGTCACTCAGTTGATCCAGTGTGGTAGGGGCAGTTGCAAAGATTGATGTGAGGCCGAGGAGGATTGGAAAGAGGTCAGTGTTATGGTCATTGTGAAGCATTGGCTTGACAGTTCTTTATGGCCCCCAGCACAGCTGCAGGCTGCGAGGTATGTGGTCAAGAAATGGAGATAAAGCAGTTTCTGAGCTCAAACACAGTAGGAAGGCTGCCAAATGGCTGGCATTGCCAGGCTGTGTTTGCATCCTCTCTCTGCCATTTGAGGGCAGTGGATTCAGCATGCATCTTTGAAATAGATCCCAACTTATCAGAGGTAAGTACCTGTTTTGATGGAAGGAGAGTAGGGAATGCATTACAGGGGAAATGTAGCGAAAGACAAGCAGCTGTGAGCTCTGCATCCCACTTTCAATGATATCTCAAAGGGCTTGTGAATCAGGGTACTGCTCTCGTAGACATCTTGAAAAATGAAAGAATTCTAACGTGTCATAGACTTTACCATTTATTTGACAACAGTTTAGATACTCTGTGGTTCTGTTTGTTAGATTTAGATCTCCCCTTTTTTTTTTAATTTTTGAAAATTTCCAACATACATAATATGGAGAGAGTATTACAAGGACCCATATACGCATCACCCAGCTTCAACAATTGCTAACTGATATTAAATAAATAATCCAGGAACAGAAAGACAAATATCACTTGTTCTCACTCATATGTGGGAACTGAAAAAGTTGATCACCTGGAGAGTAGAATGATACACTGTAGTTACCAAAGGCTGGGAAGTGGAGGGAGAGGAAGTGAGATTGATTAAAGGATACAAAGATACAAGTTAGATAGAAGGAGTAAGTTCTGGCTTAGATCCCACAGTAGCCTAACTAGAGTTAAAAATAGTGTATTGTATATTTCAAAATAACTAGAAGGATTTGAAATGTTCCCAACACAAAGAGGTGATAAATGTTTGAAGTAATAGGTATCCAGTTATTCTAATTTGACCAACATGTATCAAAACATCACATATACCCCATAAATATGTACAATTATTATATATCAATAAAACTAGTAACTTGAAAAAAAACCAGTTACCAAGTGACACGCTTGTTTCCTGTAAAACCCTAGTCACTTCACCACCTCTCACCCTGATTATTTTTTGGCAGATCCCAGACATTATTTCATATTTTATTATCTATAAATATTTCACTATATACCTCTAAAAGATTAGGGCTTTCTTTTTGTTTTGTTTTTTTGAGACAGAGTCTTGCTCTGTTGCCCAGGCTGAAGTGCAGCAGCACGATCTCAGCTCACTGTGCAGCCTCTGCCACTTGTGTTCAAGCGATTCTCCTGCCTCAGCCTCCCAAGTAGCTGGGATTACAGGCACCTACTACCACATCCAGCTAATTTTTTTGTGAATTTTTAGTAGAAATAGGGTTTCACCATGTTGGCCAGGATGGTTTTGGACTCCTGACCTCAAGTGATCTGTCCACTTTGGCCTCTCAAAGTGCTAGAATTATAGGCTCCAGCCACTGTGACTGGCCCTCATTTTTTTTTTTTTTTTTTGAGACAGAGTTTCACTCATGTTACCCAGGCTGGAGTGCAATGGCGCGACCTCAGCTCACCGCAACCTCCACCTCCTGGGTTCAGGCAATTCTCCTGCCTCAGCCTCCTGAGTAGCTGGGACTACAGGCACGCGCCACCATGCCCAGCTAATTTTTTGTAGTTTTAGTAGAGACGGGTTTCACCATGTTGACCAGGATGGTCTTGATCTCTTGACCTTGTGATCCACCCGCCTCGGCCTCCCAAAGTGCTGGGATTACAGGCTTGAGCCACCGCGCCCGGCTTTTTTTTTTTGAAGTGGAGTCTCGCACTGTTGCCTTGCTGATGTGCAGTGGTGTGATCTCAACTCAATGCAACCTCTGCCTACCAGTCAAGGATTCTCCTGCCCCAGCCTCCCGAGTAACTGGGATAACAGGCACCTACCACCATGCCTGGCTAATTTTTTTTTTTTTTTTTTGAGACGGAGTATCGCTCTGTTGCCCAGGCTGGAGTGCATTGGCACGATCTTGGCTCACTGCAACCTCTGTTTCCTGGGGTCAAGCGATTCTCCTGCCTCACCCTCCCAAGTAGCTGAGATTACAGGCATGCGCCACCATACCTGGCTAATTTTTGTATTTTTAGTAGAGGTGGAGTTTCGACATGTTGGTCAAGCTAGTCTCAAACCCCTGACTTGGTGATCTGCCCACCTCGGCTTCCCAAAGTGCTAGGATTACCACCTCACCCAGCCCCTTTAAAAAAAAAAATGAGTCAGAGTCTCACTCTTTCACCTAGGCCAAAGTGCAGTGGTGCAATCACAGCTTACTATAGCCTTGACCTCCCAGACTAAAGTGATCTTCCCGCCTTAGCCTCCTGAGTAGTTGGGACTACAGGTGTGCACCACCACTCTCAGCTAATTTTAGTATTTTTTGTAGAGACAGGGTTTCGCCACGTTGCCCAGGTCTTGAACTCCTGGGCTCAAGTGATCTGCCTACCTTGGCCTCCAGAAGTGCTGGGACCACCAGTGTGAGCCCCCATGCCTGGCCACTTCCTTTTTAAAACAGCCACTTTGCCATCACCACACTCCAAAAAAGCATAGAA